ATTGAGGGGTTTTGGTCTCTACTCCCTCGGAAATAACAGTTGAGGACCCCCTCTGATTTTAAAGATCAAAGTGCTGACACATACCCCCCTTCAGAAAAAACAAAAAGATCAAAGTTACCAACATGGCTACTCCTTCAGAAATTACTGCTAAAGGCCCCCTTCCTCCCCCTAGGATTTCCTTGACCCTCAATAGGGGGGGAGGGGGTGCTGATATAAAATGGAATGGCCCATTGCAGTTAATTCTTATATAATTTGTAGGTAATGACATCTACAGTATATGCCAATAAATTGTTGTTGTTGTTAATTGTCCTCCACTCTTCGCAGTTGCCAATGAATCCTATCAAAATGCCATAGACATACTTTATCAGTATTAGCAACAATGTTTGAATGCCGAGCAGTTTGATATTGAGTCCCAACATGTTTTATTCCTTAGGTTAGGACCAATTGTAAACAAAACCACACAACAGGAGGGTGATCAAACTGGATTTTATATTCTAACACTATCTTAAAGTTCCTTACTGCTGCTAATGTAATATAATTGAATATAATATGATATAATATATTATATTGTATGGTATGATATAAACTATGTAATGTAATATAATATATAATCTCAAGTCAGCAGTGTTTTTGAGTCCAACTGTGTACAGATTTAACATTAATTACAAAAGCTGTGGAGCAATCCTTCCGTCCTTTACACTTTGCTCAATAAATTTCATGATTGGGTCTCCACAGACACAGCACTTAGCATCCTCAGGACATGCCTTTAACAGACCACAATAGCAATAAGATGGATCATTGAATACCCTCTCTGGGATGTAGGCTACATTTTTGCATGCAGCTTCTGGCTGCTGAAAACCTTGCTGAGGTAGTCAAATCAGCATCACATATTCATGTCTAAATATTTCAACCCATCTGTTTTGATATGTTGTATTTTCACCTAATTTTTTAAGAAAAATATGCTTCGCTTCTCGTCCTTCCATGGTTACCAACCCCAACCCCTGGCCATACTTTTCAAGCACTTGACGACAATGAGCCGGGACAATGTGACCCAATGTCCAGACAGTAGGATTTACAGAACTTGGCAACAACAATGAATTTACTTTAAAATACTCATGACAGGCAATAGAAAGCTGATCAATGTGGTCTGATGTTATCTCAAATCTACTAAAGAGAGAAACACAGTCCCTTAGCCTCACACCTAAATAAGCTAAAGCAAGAACTGTTTGACGTTCTTTACTGGAGTCTTTTTCACACCTTAGCCACTTGATTAGTCTCATGAAGTTATGACAAAAACAGCGGGAATCTTTTCCGGTAAATCTATAATGCAAATCAGCTCCAGACCCTTGAGTTTCATTAAACCATTGTTTGGTCTTGTTTGCAAGGCGCCTGGCTTTTACTTCTGTTTGTAAAGCTGTAATTACTTGTGCAAAAGGGCTATCAGCTGGAACCTCTGAAAACTTTTTACAATCAGCTGGCAGCTTAGATTTTCTTATAGCTTCTGTCAAAACTGCTTTAAAGAAGTACTGCCAAGCATTGTTCTTTAGATGAAGGGGTTCCACATGAGCTTTGTCAATATAAGAACCTAAGAGAGGCAAAAATTCCTGTCTACTACTTTGCTTGGCAATGTAATCAGTAATTTTAGATCTCTTTGTCTTTTCAGAAATTTTTTCTAGTGCTACTCTTTTCTTAAATGCTTCAACCTTGTTGACAACATTTACTCTTTGCTTGTAACTCCATGGCTTCCACTTGTTTGAACTTTCAGTTCCAAATGTACCCTTGACATCCCTACAATCAGCTAATGAAACATTAGCAAAGGGTGAGAAATACTTAGCACTAATAGTTAATTCACCTGCCAACATGGCAAGCATCTTCATGTCATTTGGCAATTC